GGAGCCAATGAGATTCCCTGCATGTGTGACGATATCAAGGGAACCCCGTCACGCATGACTCTAGGTCACTGATGAAGACATTAAAATGCCGCTGCACAAGGGGCCTGGGTTCTGACGTGCTCCAGCCCATGCGGGGACTGCAGAGTACAACTGTGGTGATTTATAAAGGATTAGAAAAGCAGTTTGCAGGTCCCCAACACAAGGAAATGGTAAGCGTTAGAGGAGGAGAAAGTGCGTGTCATCCTGAGGGTCAGGCCCTGTCTGTGAGGGGTTGAGTCCTCACAGTGGACCCCGTGAAGCTGCACAGCTGCACATGCAGTGACCGTGGTGGTGGCCACGTAGAGAGTGTTAGGGGACCCGCTCTGGAACCAGGCCTTGTCCTTTCTGTCTGGCTCTGGTGACACTCACATTCCAGTTCAATGTTATTTAGGGTCAATCTTGTAGGGGGCTCTGTCCACGTTAGCTTCTCCATATCAGGGGAAGCCATAGGGAGGTCTTGGCCCAACTCCACTGGACCCTGAAAGGGAGACAGCAGATGACCCAGGCCAGGCCCAGAGCAGCCCCAGGCAGACCCTTAGTGCCAGGGGCATGGCCTGCTGGGAAGGACATCTGACTGCGAAGCCCTCCTAGGCAGCTCAGCACTGCAGGGCCATGCACCCCCCTCTACAGTGTGGCACATGTTTCTGACCCAAGATCCACCCAGGGCACTCTGTGGGATTCAGAGAAAGACCCTTACGCTGTGCAGCTCAAGCAGTGCCCACCTCATGAGGCTGCTGGGGCCCCAAGGGGAACAGGTCTCAGTCCCTAAGGAGAGGCAGCACTTTTGTCTGGAAAGGGCCGAGTAGTAAATGCTTCAGGCTTTGAAGGCACAACTACTCAACTCTGTCACCGTGCAGGGAAAGCATCCATGGCAACACGTGAGGGAATGAACACATGCAAGACTGTTTCCAGAAATTCTTTATAAAACATGGATGAGACAGGTGCAGTGGTGCACACCTATAATCCCAGCAGCTCAGGAGGATGGCAGGTTCAAAGCCAGTCCCAGCAACTTAGCAAGGCCCTAAGCAATTTGGCAAGACCCTGTCTCTAAATAAAAAGGGCTGAGGATGTGGCTCCATGGCTGAGTGCCCCTGGTTCAATCCCTGGTATGAAGAAGAAGGAGAAGGAGAAGGAGAAGGATGAGGGGTGAGCAGAGTCTGGCATGCCTTGATCCAGACTAATAGCTACCACCATTGTTGCCATCACTGCCACCACCACCATCACCACCATCATCACCACCATCACCACTATCACCATCACCACCATCACCATCACCACCATCACCATCACCACCATCACCATCATCACCACAATCACTACCATCACCACCATCACCATCAGCACCATCATCACCACAATCACTACCATCACCACCATCACCATCATCACCATCATCACTATCATCACCACAATCACTACCATCACCACCATCACCATCAGCACCATCATCACTATCATCACTACCATCACCACCACCATCACCACTATCACCATCACCATCATCACCATCATCACCATCATCACCACCATCACCATCACCACCATCACCATCATCACCATCATCACCACCATCACCATCAGCACCATCATCACTACCATCACCATCACCACCAGCATCACCACCATCACCATCATCACCATCATCATTACCACCACCATCACCACCATCACCATCATCATCACCACCATCACCATCATCACCACCATCACCATCACCACCACCATCACCATCATCGCCACCATCACCACCATCACCACCATCACCACCACCACCATCACCATCATCACCACAATCACTACCATCACCACCATCACCATCACCACCACCATCACCACCATCACCACCACTCTCATAATCACCGTCACTGTCACTATCACTATCACCTCCACCACCATGACCACGCTTACCACCTTTCTCACTATCACCATCGCTATTATTACTACCTATCATCACCATCGTCGTCATCACCATCATCATGCTTTAACTATGATGTGACATGTTGAGCTTTTCAAGTACAAAAGACGTAAGTGTCCATGTCTGTCTGCATGCTGAGAGTAAATTCAGACCTAGACATTTCCTGAAGGGGAAGTCAAACGCTCCCCGTTACCAAGTTCAGGAACATTTTTTAACTATGGGGACCAGGTGGAGAGGAAATCCCTGTGTTTCAGGGAACACGGGCCTTATTTGTGGGGATAGAATGAGATGGGACACGCTGGGGGTTCTAGGGCGCTGTGCTGTTCATGCCCTTGGACAGCCAAGCTGAACCAGCCGTGATCAGAGGCCGCACGACATGCTCTAGGAGCAGAGGTCGAGAGAGGGAGGCGGGCACTGCCGGGCAGGGTGTTCCAAGAGGGTCCCTGGAGGGAGCCGCACTTCAGCTCAGGCTTGAGAGCGCGGTGAGACTTCTTCAGATGAAGGAGAAGAAGAAAGACCTCACAGACGTTGGAAGCATGGAGCAGAGAGCGCCAGCGTCCGGCACAGTGAAGCCACTCAGTGAGGGGGAATGCACATGCCCCGGCACCCGGCATCCCCCTATCAGAGAGCTCCCCACCTGGCAACCTTTGCCAAGTCCAGTCGGAGCACGTGCTTGCCCTGGAGAAGCCCCTTGGGGTCAGAGCTGGGAGTCCTCTTTCCTTCCATCACCCAAAGTGCTGGCCAAGGGAGACGGGCTGGCGTGAGCTCCGGAAGGCTCCTGTCCCAGCTGTCAACGGCCCGTGGTCATTCCTCCCACCAGGCAGTGAACTGAGCACCTGGGCAACCTGATCCCAGGGTGAGGCACGCCGGGCTCCGTTAGCCAAGCCCTTCTGGGACCCTTTATTTCCTCCCAGGTCGGGGTCCACTCATTTGAAGACCTTGGTTCATGTGGCTCCACCCTCTCCCCAGACCACGGCTCCATGCAGATGAAGCCAAGGGGCCACCGAGGTCTCTCCCAGGCCTCGTCTTCCCTCCACAAAGAGGCCGCTCATCTCAGCCTGCCCTGCTGCTTCACACGCTTCCCTCCCGAGACTGCGCCGCTCCAGGTTTAGAGCCAGTTGTGCCAACGTTTCATTAATTGGCTTTTCCCATGACACTAGGCCTTCCAGGAGGGCAGAGGACGTATCTGCCCGGCTTAACTTTACCTTTTCTTCTTCTGAGATGGCCACAGGTGGACATGCTTCATGGCTGCTGAGTAGTGAGCGGATGACTAAATGCACAAAGCCCAAGAGGCACTGGACTGGTCACGCTGAGCAGCTAGCGAGGGACCATGTCATTGCACACCCCAGACGTCACCAGTCCTGTCTCACTGCGGGTCACTGGGAAAGCAGGAGCCCCGACGAGGCTGTGCGCAGAGGTGGCATTGGGGGGCCACAGGAGGGAACAGGATGGGGGAAGGGAGTGCCCCTGGAGTCAGGAGCATTGCTGAGGACAGGCTGCACCAGCACTCAGGGTGTTCAGGGTGGCCCCAAGTCTTCCTTCAGAAAGACGGCACACCTGGGGTAAAGAGGGCACACCTGGGGTAAAGACGGCACACCTGGGGTGTTAGCTGTGAGGGGTCCCCAGAGCCCCGTGGGAGACAATGCAGAAGGTTCAGGGGGAAAGCAATTGGGTTGGGAGAGCCTTACCTGGTCAGAGCACTAACCCACTGGTAGGATCCTCTGGGTGGTACCCGGGCAGGTGGGTGTGGCTGGAGGAGGTGGTCACTGGGCTGTCCTGTGGGATTTACATTTTTGTCCCTGGTGAGCAGAGCCCGCTCTGTGTCCTGGTGCCATGTCCTGAGCTGCTTTCCTCCTCCACGCCCTTCCACCTCGGTGCCCTACCTCACCTTGGGCCAGAGCTGTGGAGCCACCAACCTTGGACTGAGACCTCTGAACCGTGAGCCCCAAATCAACTTTTTCTCATCTAACATGGTTCTTGTCGGGTCTTTGGGGCACAGTGGGGGAGACGCTGGCCACACCGGCACTCCTGTTCCCCATTGCCTGGGCGATTCCCGGGGTCTGATTCTCCCTGTGCTGGGCTGAAATGACTTCTGAGAAGGTCCTTACACACAGAGGTGGAGAAGACGTGGGTGGCCTTGCAGGGACGTCCGTCCACCTGATTCTGAGACCTAGAGAATGGCCAGCGGTAGCTCACATGAGTCGGCAGTGACCCAGAGAGACGCCCAACCAAGGGCTAGAAGCATGTGCTTCATACCCGACCTGGGCTGGGTGCAGCTGGGTGGGAGGGTGTCCACGGCAGGCTGCAGCCCTGGGGTCCGTCCCCAGCACCACGAAACAAGCCGACCCACCAAGAGACAGCAGCAGAAGCCCCTCAGCCCAGCGATTCCGCGGACCTGCTGCAGCATCTGCAACTGGACTTCCTGCTCCTCGGCCATCGTCTGCTTCTCTGGTGCCGCCCCAGAAGGTGAACTTGAAGTGACATCTGCTTCAATCCCTCTTCCCCTTCCCTGCCCACCCCACGTTTCAGTTCTGAAATCAGGAGCTCCTCTCATCTTCTAAAGAGAAGAAGCCGAGGAAATGGGTGGCCACACTCAGGTCACCACAGTCCCAGATCACCCGGGCCACGCCCAGGGAACCCGGTGAGCCGGCGTTCACAGTCCCAGCACGGGCAGCCAGCAGTGTGGAGACCACCCTGGCCTTTGGCCATTCCCTGTGTCTTCATGGCATGTCATTTTTGAAATATCTTTTCTGTTTTATTTGACTGTTCATTGGTGAGTAATTATGCACATTTGTGGGGCACAGTGTGAAGTTATGCTGCGAACCCCGCAGCACCGTTAAACCAAGGGGACCAACCCACCCATCGCCTGGTGCCGATCCTTTCCCTGAGGTGAGAGGGCTCAAAGCTACACTTGGGACTTTGAAAGACGCGTGTCACTAGCAATGATCCTCCCGGTGAACGAGGATCCCAGGGGGACATCCTTCTTTCTCACTGAAACCCTGGTCTTTGGCCACCATTCACCCCCTGTGGCCCCTCAAGGCCCCGTGACCCCTGCCCACTCCCTGCCTTGGGTTTGGTTTCAGATTCTCACCTGTAAGGGACTCGCGGCATTTGTGTCTGGGCTCTGCTCTCTCACTTCTGAAGGTGGCGGGTGAGGGGGTAGGAAGGGAACAGGACCCTCCTGGGTGTGGTCAGGAAGGGCCAAGAGCACAGGTAAGACTGGCCAGAGGTGGAGACAGCTGGACGCTAGAGAGACACATGGGAGAATGTTCTGGAAGACCCAGAGATAGGAGGGTGACCGCCAAGGTCTGTCATTGGGTTCCATCAGCTCTTCAAGAATCCTCCGGAAACCCTGCTGGGGAGGAAAGGCTTGCGCTTACTGCTTTTCTTGCTATTTTGTACTTTAAGATTCTCATTTTGTTAATTAACCTGATTTATTCATGCTGTAAACGCATATCAAGACATCACACCTTACCCCATGAACTTATGAAACTATTGTCAATTAAAATTTAAACCAATTTACAATTTTTAATAAGGTCCTTGTTTTCTGTCATTATCATCCTCTGAATTTGACGGCTTCTCTCCATTTCTGCATTTTCAGGATTTTTTCACTGCTCTTCATATGCCAGGAAGCCAGAACGGGTTGCAAAAGAAGAAGAAAATTGTGTAATACTGAAAGACTCGGAACCAGTTACAGCCAAATTTTTGCATTCGTGGGTCCTTGCAGTGTGAGACCCTGTGCTCCCCGGGCTGCAGCTGCCCTGCTCTGCTGGGGACACGGGCAGGTTCAGGGCTGCAAAGCAGGCTGAGCCATGGACGACCCTAACACCAGGAGGCTCTGAGTTCACAGCTCTGAGGAAGCTGGCCCGGCCTGGGTGTGGGCTGGAGGGTTCCTTGCAGCAGAGTGGAGGGTACAGAAGTCCCTCCACAGTGAAGCAATCTCAGAGGCCGTCACAGAGCTGACTCTGCACCCCAACAGCTCGCAGCTACCCAGCAGGCAGAAAACTCAGGGAGGAGCTCTGAGCCTCGTGTTGAATATCAATAAAAACCAAGAAAGAACAATTCTAAGTTCACACGTATGAGAAATGCGTCTGCCCAGGAGCATGTCTGTTTCCAACACAAAGCCAGCCCAGACCAGCAGGGAGCCAGGCCTGGCGTTGGACAGGACAAGCCCGTACCCTGTCGGGAATGTCCTCTGTCCCCAAAGTATGCCAACAGGCTTTTCTTTTGGAACTAACGCTAAAGAGGTGGGCTTCCGGGAGGTGCCTGGCACCCACACAGGGGAGACCCAAGGCACCCGAGGTCCACTGAGCAGCTATCCACAGAGCACATGGAGGTCACAGGTCCAGCCAAGGACGCAGCCCGCACCCAGCCCTGAGGTGTCCTTGGACTAATCCCCCCGCTGCGTGACTGTCTCCAGACCTCCCCTCAGCATGTCCCCCACTTCCACTCATCAGCACCAGCTTGGACCAGCGGCCCTGGGCCGAGGTCCCCGTGGTCCCCGTTCCCGCTCTTGCTTTACACAGTCAACCCCCAGGGATTCCTGGACCCAGGCAGGTGTGGAGATGGACACTGCCATCGAGGGGAGGCAGGACGGGCACCGTGGACAGGGCTCTCTTGGCTCCGGGGCGTTTGGAAGGCAGCTGGAGGACTGGGCTGCGAGGGCAGAAGTGGTTCCCGAGAAAGGGGACGTGTGTCCTTCAGAGGCCGATGTGCTGGGTAGAGCTGCTTGGCTTCCCCAGAAACCTTCAGTGTTGAAACTCAGGCTGGGGTGGCGGGTGTCCACCCACGGCCTCCACTCAGCCGGGGTGGCCTCGGGCAGGCGGGGAAGTCCGAGTGTGCCCAGGACACAGGAGGACATGACGTTGCGTCCTTGTGAGCGTCCTGGACTCTTAGGAGGAGCCCTGGGTCCCCCTGTTGTAATTTATAGCCCCTCATTAGTCCCCTCGCGGGGGTGTGGCCTTTCATCACTTGTAATTATCTGAAATTAATCATTTGTCCCCAAAATCCCAGATTCAGTTATAAGGACTGACACAAGGTGCAGTGAGACCAGGGACCAGGACCGCACAGAGCAATTAGTGGGGGTCACAGGCAGAAGTGAGGTCCTGGGCCGCGGCCAGACCAGCAGATCCCTGTGCCCTGGTCAGTGGCAGGGCTTCTACAGTGGCCAGGACAGTGGCTCATCCAAGCCGGACAGCACCTGGCTTACCTCAAGCCAACACCAAGACTCAGGTGCAGCCTGGTGCTGAGGGCCCCAGCGTCGGGCCACACTGCGCCACCCGCGTCTCAGCAGTCCTGCCGGCAAACTGCGCTGGCCCATCCTGTGGGCAGCGGGAGGCTCGCTCAGGCAATGGTGGTGCTGGCCACTGGAGATGGCCGCGGTCAGGCCAGGCTAGGTCCCTGCAGTGCCGACAGCAAGTCACCCACCTGTCACTATTTCCCTACGAGGAAAGTGGCCCTGCGTTGTCCTCTCCCCGGACTGTGGTCAGAGTGCTACGCACTGACCAGTGTTCTTAAACTAAGTGCTGGTGATCGATTAACCAGTTATGGTCGTTCATCATTAATAATCTACCTGTGAAGGTTCCTTTATCTCCTTTTTCATGCTGCATCACGATGGGAGGACAACTGTCCTTCCCCCCAAGGACCAGCAAGGCAATTGCGTTTGCAGGCCTGAGGGACACTGAGTGTTGGTAACAGAATCGGTGGGACCGCGGGGTTCGTCTCTTCTTGAACAGCCTGGACGCAGATCTTCCTGGTAAAGTGGTGACCCAGAGACGCGTCCTGTGGACTCCCCATCACAGTGCTCACCGCTGTCTACACCAGTTTGTTCAATGTCCTGCAGGGTCACTTCTGGGGCCCTGGTCCACTGTGGCCCTGAAGCCTGTTGGTCATTGCGGAGGCTATGGAGCTGTGGAAGTCTGGAAGTTGTGGGGTCAGCATGGAGGCTGTGAGATGGTGGAGGTTGTGGGTCAGCATGGAGGTTGTGGAGGCTGAGGGTCAGCTTGGAGGCTGTGGAGACTGTGGAGGTTGTGGGAACAGCATGGAGACTGTGGAGGCTGTGGAGGCTGTGGGTCAGCATGGAGGCTGTGGATGTGGAGGTTGTGGGGTCAGTGTGGAGGTTGTGGGGTCAGCGTGGAGGCTGTGGGGTCAGC